CCCTGGACAGGACACCTGTCCATCACAGTACACACACACACCCTAGACAGCACACCAGTCCATCACAGGATACACACAGACACACGGACACACCCACACACACCAGGGCCAATTTGCCTAGAAGCCGATTAACCCTTCAGCATGTCTTTGGACTGTGGGAGGAAACCAGAGCACCCAGAGGAACATGCAAACTCCATGCAGATATCACCCCGGGCATTAACCTCAGGGCCCCAGCACTGCGACAATGCCCTTATCGCACTGTCACAAGGAGCACGCCCCCAAAACAACTGTCCCATTGTACAGTAAGGAGGTAGAAATACTTACCTTCGGTGTGACCACCTGTCATCCCCTGCCACATACACAAGTTTGAGCTCTCTACCATGGCTGTGTTTGTGCCCATGGTTTCGTGTTGGGCGCTGTTGCGGGGGCATGACCTCAGTCACTCTATTCTGCCTTTGCACAGGCAATGATGATTCGGTCCGGAACGGCCGCTCTCTCGCCCAGCCCCAGATTTGCAGCGTTCCTGTCACCCTGCTTGTAGCTGGACTGGTCTCTCACACAGCGCCAGCACTTCGCAGAACGATGCCCAGGGGAGGGGCACACTCTTACACAGGTACACCCACCTCTGGGCTGGAAAGTACCAGGGTGCCGCACTGCACAGCACCCTGGCCTCAGACAGAGTGGGTGCCAGTAGGAGACAGGCTTTAGCGCTAGGTTAGGCCATCGGGTTACCTGGTATTCATGCCATCATTGTGAAAACAGAGGTCAGGGTTTGTTGTTATCATAGGAGCAGGCAGCAGGGTGGCGCAGTGGCGAGTATTGCCTGCCTCACAAGCGCTGGGGCCCTGGGTTCAAGTCCTGGGGTGCGGTCTGTGTGGAGTTTGCATGTTCTCCCCTTGTTCTTGTGGGTTTCGTCCCACAGTCCAAAGACATGCTGGTGGGTTAATTGGCTTCTGGGGAATGAGTGTCTGTGCCCTGTGATGAACTGGCGTCCTGTCCAGGGTGTAGCCTGCCGTGCGCCCGTTGCATGCTGGGATAGGCTCCGGCTCCCCTGCGACCCTGTACAGAATGAAGCGGACAGAAAATGGACGAATGGATTATCACAGGAGGGGGGTGACATGGTCCTACATTGTCACGGACAGGCGACACACGCGCAGGTGGTGTGCTCGGTCCCTGCCAGGTCGCTGTGGTAACGGGCGTAAACAGCAGGTGGTCAGGCATACCTGAGCCAGGCGCGGGGCTGAGCTTGATCGTGTGTCCCGACACGGGGGTGCTGCTCACCGTTTACACTCTGTCATTAACAGAAAAACGATCTGTCCCTCCCCCCCCTCTCTCTCTCTCAATTCCATTCAAGGTGCTTTATTAGCATGACCGATGGGAACAATCAGTGTTGCCGAAGCAAAAAAAAAAAACGAAATTCACATGAAACAAAACAAAAAATAAAAGTAAAATAAAATCTACAGACATTCACACCAAAGGCACATCATAAAATATTTACATATCCCCTCTCCCTCCCTCCTTCATATTAGTGACCCGCACAATCCACAATGTCAACAGCTGTTACCGCAG